TCGCTACCAAAACGGCCTTAGCGGGCATGGTGTACCAAAACTCGAATTAAATTTCCAACGGTCTCATATACATACACACGCATGAAGGGCATGGACCTTCCAGCGATATACTACTAAATTCAGTCCACAACGTTTTACCGTAACGATTTGCCGTAAACATGCAACCCTTAAAAACACACTTCCTGTTCAGATGATTGTCTCTTCCTGTTCAGATAAAATTGAGAACAAGAGTTAAGGCAAGAGTCAAGGAATCCCACATCACCTACCAAAGTTGCAGTCAATAGGAACGGTTGGCAAACCTGAAAGCTCCTGCCTTTTATGATTCCTTTTCACCCTTATCAGTTGCTATCAGATCCCGTCACACCTTAAATCGTCTACGACATTTTTATTCAAAGATACCGATTAAATATAATTATTCACAATTTATCCTGGTACTCAAAAACAAGCGACGCGGTTCCTCATATTCACCTTGGACAACAATACATGCTCTGTAACGCAATCCCATAGTTTGGTAATGAGTTCCTGTGGTAGGGTATTCCATTCCACTGTCGGCGCAATTGGCCCACCCCCTTCTCAACGTAGCGGCGGTCATGAGGTGAAGAGACCACCACCGTGCAGTGTCACTGTAGGGCGTGAGATGGCTTGCTTTGAAGTACTGTTAAACGTCATTGCAATCACAGAAGCTGACCAACGTGGATAGTGGTCGTCCATTGGTGTTGTTGACTTGGTCGGCCACCTCTTCTCTTTCGAGAAGCATTATTAGAGTTTCGAAACGCTCCCCATGCACGTGAAACAACGCTGCGAACGATACTGAGCTTCTGAGCTACACTGGTCATGATTTATTCAACCTTCTTCGAGTTTTCCGATGATCCTTCCTCGTGTGAAGTCATTCAGATGATCTCTGCGGGACATGTTGTTTTGGAGGGTACCGTCATAGTACTTTGTAGCGACTCTATAATTGACAAGAGCTTTTTTCATGCCTATCAACGGCCCCGATTTGCGCGGGCAGCCATATTCTGCGTCTTATCTGGGCTATTCTTCCACAGAGGGAAATTCAGCTTCAGTGCATAACTGTTTTAGGTCAATATACTCCCGCACTTTCATTTATTTCCACCCATTCCTTGATGTTTAATTTCACATCATCCATTTCACCCCTGACCAATAAGTTTTGCACACCGTATAATGTGTAATTCCCTATACATATATCATGTAGCGGGAAAAGTATACATCGGAAGTTTGCGTTAGTAAAGATCTCTCTCGGGAAGCTAAAAGGGAAATTCCTATATGTAAAGGAAGTTCCCAAGGGTATACGCATGTTATAGCCAGCTACCTGTTCCTTGTTTAACAGCCATATAATGAGCGATGAGTCCACCCAAATCTGATGCGTATTTATTTATAGGTTTTTTATAAGTGATAAAGGGACGGCACTGTTATGATTTGAAGATACAGTTCACAATCGAAATAATTTTCTAAACTTCCAACTAGCTCGAATCTGCGCCCCACGTATGCCATATAGGGTGTTTTTCGTGTCGAAATCCGCGATAGGATGCAACATGGGCTGGAATTTGTCTTCCTCAACGTTCACATCCAAAGGCGGACATGTTTGAACGGCTTTGTGGAGGTGTGCCATTCCCAAAAAACACCTGTGCTGAAAATTGGAACAACTATAGTAGTAGAGTATTCGAGGAGCTGAGGATACCATTGAACGCAACTCCAGAAGCTCTATAAGCAGACACGCTGAGATATTCTGAGTGCTGCGCTTCAGATTGCGCCACGCACTTGAGAATTTGCTCTAGACTTCGACTTTTCTCAATGCCATGTGGAAACGATTGATAGGTTTTGTCATGTCCCTTTCATTTACTTCTGGTGTAGAGGCTGTATTTGACTGCAACTACATCCTTGCACTCAACACTATTTGCAGGTCCAATTGAGCATGTGACACCAATTTACGGCAAAATAAAACAGTTGATTTTATCGACATTTTCCTATCCTTCAACGATTTTTCGTCGAGATAGAAGGAGGCGGCGTTAAAGGCAGTCTACTATCACACACTAATCTTTGTTTGTTGCAAGTCTGTTATGGTACATATCATCATAGATCAAAGTTTCTCCCTCGGAAAGATCTCAAATTTCGCTCTTGGTCATGCCCAAGCCGGAATTATGTCTTCCCATCCCACTGGATCCTCGCAACCAGAATTGACTGAAGAATGCTATTTAATGATACATGGGTCATGGGTACCGACGGGAGATCAAAACCATTTCCTACCGTAAGCCTGTGGCTGATGGGTCTCTGCTGGGCATGTTCGGATTCGCACGTGACCAGGTGCTGTAGTGGTGTGAAATTTCAATGAGGGTTTCGGGAGACTTTGATCGTAGGTGGTGGGGCGCTGTGGTGGCTTGAAGGAGGTTGGTTTGAATAATGGTTATTCGAATGGGGGAGGAGGTAATCTGTGTAGAAAGCGGGTTTTGTAGTAGGGCAATTTGACTGGGAGTTTGCGGTGGTTTAGGGGACATTGATTGAGTAAGATCCAAGGAGGTACAACACTGCTTTGGAAGAGTTTATATTTATGCAAAAGCAAAGTCAGCACATTATCAAGGATCTGGACTTTCGTTTTGTTCTTACGACCGTACTTGCTTGCCCCACTCAAATCATCATTCTGAATTCCCCGAGGCAGCCCTGTACATCCACAGGTTTCGGTGCTCGCGGTGTATTTCCAGCTTTGGTCTCACTAGTTCAAGCCAGTTAGTGTTTCACCAACTCTGCAGGTTTTCTCGCTTTCCTTGCCTCGCCTGACCCTTTATGTTACTCTCTACGAACTCTCTTACTTTCTAATTAGAAACTCTTACTTTCCGACTAGAAAAAAAAATGCCTCGAAGTTATCGTCTTTAACACGGCTTTAAAATACAAATTTAATTTGGAGGCATCTAAAAGACTTTCTTGTCATTTTTTTGTCTGTGCAGGTTTCATTTATTCAGTCAACACCAAAACCAACAGTCAGATTCTGAAAAAGGCGACCTTGTTATGGCTTCCTCCTGAATCTGGAAACACGAGAATCACATAAAACTATTGGTCCAAACGCTTTTTCTATCCACAGTGAACATTGCAACGAGCTTTCTCTGTCATGACTTTTCTCTCCGGTTTGAAACAGTGCTTGGAAAATATTTCACAAGTGATCCTGAAACCCCGAAGATAGCCACATCGCCAAAACGCTAGCCAAGTAAGACCGTCATTGTTCTGTATGCTGCCTGAACAACCCGACTTTTTATCGATGTTTCCCTTGAAACATCCAGAGTTTATCTAAGAAGAACGAGAACACATTTTAAATAGCCTGTACATCCGTATTTTTCAAAATATAATACACATTTTGCCACAGACAGAAAACAAACAGAACATTCGTACAGAAAAGCGAATTGGATGAATTTCACGATCAACATACATCGGGACTGCCTTCGGCGGTCGAAGTTCGTTCATACTTCAACTCAACACCTCCGGATGTTGCTGAACGATCATGTCACTTACTCTGTTCACCTGCAATCATGGAAGCCGCTTCTCTGAATCATTAGTTTATCATCAATCAGATATTTACGACCATTTTTGGCATAGATTTGTGCTTTCGGGGGCATAGCCAGTAAAGACTGCCATATAGACCGTTCTCTATTTTACGACAGCACCGCAACCGCTGGACCTAGCCGCTAGTAGGCAATACGATGTCAGTATGAACTACTGCGAAGCTGATACTTGGAGATATGCAATAGTCTAGCAACTTATTTTGGGTAACAAACAGTGAATAACACAACCGATTTCTTCATTCAACTCAACAACTTTTTGCTCTTACATGAAAATTTGCCGTGGAAATTTTACAGAAAGGAATTACCACATCTCAATTACTGTTACACAAGGCAGGGCAAAAGTTTTGGCGGATGTTTAAGCAACCGCATTCGCTCCCTTTTCATGACATTATTCAGATTCATTTTTTATAATCTTTGACATCTACAAATGGTCCCCATGATAAGTTGGAAGACTTTTGGATTTCTCAGACATCAACTGAGATCGAAATGAAAACAACCCCGCTGGTAATTTCATTTGAAACGTTCAAAATGACTTATTGAGCGATCAAATTCAGAAGGGAGTGCTACGTAAAGCGATGCAATGTCTCTCTGCCAAAGTTCAATTTTCATGTGAAAGAAAAAAAATTTGTGAAATTATCGCGTTGGTATGAACTGCATGATGAACAGCTCCATTACCGATCTAACACTGAAGCATTTCTAGGGTTGTACATGTTTGTTTATAGGAGGTCAATATTCGGTCGCTGGGCGAGCAATAACTAAAAAGTAGCAATATACGACTTAAGCGTACTCAAATTGAGGAGGTGTGCACGCCTAAGAGGCCGCATAGACAGTTTGCTTTTCTCCTCCCTTCCTTATCGATATCCTGCTAAGATGAATCTGTGGCCCCTAGTATACCATTTGTGGCGGTGACAGATCGGGAAACGGCCTAAATCAGGAGCCATAAAGGCTCAAAGATTGTCCAGTGTGAATGCGCGGACGAGTTTCTACGACATTGTAGAGACTGCACCATACACATGGGAACCCAAGAAGGGAGTTCGAAAAACTTGCCATGACCCACAGTAGAGGGAATAGAATTCAGAAGAGTTTTCACTTGATGTAATCAACTCTTTGCGCTCGTCCAAATACCCCTTCCATGTTATTTCCCTCAGGGTAATCTCGTACAACCTCTATTTACACAATTTTCGAACAGCCTTATTTTTCGCGAAATAGGCGAATTTTCTCACTTCCTTCACCACCGATGCACTATCCCCAACCACTACCTCCGCTTTTCGGCATAGAATGGGTACCTCAAAATTATCGTGAACTGTGCTTCTAAACTCTCTCAGCTGCTATCAATTCGCTCTGGAATTTTGCTTAAGTTGTTTGTCTATCGAAAGCCATGCTAGCGCAAAAAATCTAATCAAGACAAACGATTCATCAAAAAACTCACCAGTTGACAGAAGGTCATGATCTGCTCATCCCAAAGCTTCAATGGGTCACGCTCTAAAAATAGTGTTTTCACCGTTAACAGGTAATTGCTTCTCAAATTCACCCAACTGTTTATAAACAAGTGTTCTCGAATTGAACCGGTTTTTTATAGCTTCTCGAACTCGATTAATAACAAGACGATCGAGACTAGTAACAGTGGGGAGCGCATCAAACCAGAACTTGTTTCAGAGAAGCAATCGCGCGACCCCCTTTAAGGCCCTTTAACACAAATGAAGTGGGTCTAGCGTTAAACGAAAACACGATCGTACCAAGCATCAAATATGTCGATAATAATAACTAAACGACAACATGCGGCAACACCATCACGAAACATTTTCTCAATCAGAACAACAACTTCCAGAGAAGCATTTTGAAACGCCGTTACACTTGGGGAACAGTTACACTGACATTAATTGGGAAACAGTCTAGGATAAAAGGATAAACTTTCTAGCGCTAATTAATCCCGTCTGAGTGATGCGCCCCCGCACTTGACTTCCATTCAGAGTCGTAGTGCGTATGTGGCCTATACAATAACCTTTATCCTTCCAGACGAGTCTGGTTCCAAGTAACCGACCCTGGAGGGATGGAAGGCTTGGTTGGCCCAGGCAGGTATCGATCCGAGATTCGAACTGCTGACCGTGCGTGTGAGATAGTGCGCCACTTGCCCCTACACTACCTCCCCCTTAGAAACAGTTTAGATAGAGACAAATGGAAAAAAGGAACAATCAAACATACGTTCGAAATGAACGAATCCTTCCAGTTGGTCGATATGGCCAACGAGTCGCTCGCTTGATATCATCTGTGCGACGATTTCTTCTGCCTCAAATTAATGGTTGATATTAAAAAACAAACAATTGGGATGTTGCATCAAGACAAACAGGAGAACGATATTCCCCCTCCTCGTGGAATTATTGGGCAATGAGGGTTGTTTGCTAAAGCAAAACATAGATGACGGAGCGCTTGGGAACATGACCTGATACTTTCACAGCCCTTCAGACTCATTCAGTGGAATTTCCATTTTTGTAGGTACGCCATTTTGTGCCACACTTTCGAATGAATTTCGGTCAACCTCGCAAGAAGCACTCACACTAATCTCCACTGAATGCTTCTATAATACTGTCTTTTGGCTCAACATAAGAGCGCTTGCGAGCTCAAAGGAGTTCATCTCAAGGGTGATTGACTTGCCTATGCCTTCGCTTTACGAAAAATCGCGAAGTATAAACAAGCGGATGCCTGAGAAGGTAATATTAAACTGTGTCACCGGTCACACTTCCGCCGAATACCAGAGGCGCTTTTGATGTGAGTTGATCAAGACTTCCGAAAAGCACAGCTATCATGCTATTCAAACCACTTTAACGTTCCCACAAATTCACGCACAGAAAAATGTTGTGATCGTTTTATGAAGGAAAGCGTATCCGGATTTTACTCGTCCCCTGAAGGAGACATGTCGAACACCAATGGCACGATGAGCTAGTAAAACACTGCCCTCCTTTGCGCACTACCTAAGAGGCGATCTAAAGCTAGAAAGACAACTAGTATCCTGCTCGAACTGCGTGCTTCCCGAGTATTGAAAACCACTTAGCCATAACGTGAAAAATTTGTCGTCTCCATCTTCCAGATGCCTACCATCCTGAAGTCCTCTTCTGGAAACTCGGAATAATTTTCCTTTCCATACCTCATTGAAGGGAGACAACGTTGAAAACAAGGCACTGTAGCAAGAAGCTCTGAGTCTTGAGTCGGAATGTTTTTCGAAGAAGAGTTTTGGATGATAGTTATGTTGATTCACTTATATCTAACCCCAGGATAACGCCATATGAAGACCCATTACTACTGTTGCTGCTGTTCTACTGCCTACCAGGGGGATCGCATGGCAGAGTGAGCCAGACATCGGACTTATTTCAATTGTGCGGTAGCTTCCTTTCCGTTATAGTCATAATTGCTAGACGCTTGACTAACTAATAAAGTAATCGCCTGAACTGTCTAGTTGCCGCAATCACTTCAGTCGCCCGTTACTTATGCATCAACTCATGCATCAACTCGTCTCTTGATCTAAAGTGATTAACACAGTTTCAGATTTCGAGCACCGGTAGAAACGCTTCTGATAGAAAAACGGTAGTAAAAGTCAAAAGCCACCTTGTCCGCAGATATTCCCAATAAATCGGCGAGCGTGGACAATGCGATATTATTGTAGAGCCTCGAGACGGCTGTCATGTTATGCTCAACAATTACTCCTTCGACAATGGATTGACCATGTTCATTCGTTCGCTGGTGTGGCTGCAGTTCCTTCTCAAACTCCACTAACTAAAAACAATGCTACTGTGCCACAGGTTCCTGACCATTAAATCATTGTGCTACCTCTGCTGCTTTTATTAGTCTATCCAGGTAGAGCTTTTCCAGGAGTGAGAATGATGGTAGCTCAGCAGCACGTGGATCTTTGAATAGCGTGTTCAACATCCGAGAACGAGCAGTTCCTAAAAACAAATTTTGATCAAAATCACTACAGAGATGACCTTATTCTATAACCTTATTCTCTATAATACTTGTTCGTTTTGAAAAGGACGTACGATGAACCCACGATGATGTTACTGACTCTGCTCACCCTGACAAAAAGCATAGATATCCCGCTTGAGCGATGCGTAAAATTACGTTAGGCCTTCATCCACCCTGGCATATTGAAAAACATGGAATTAGATTCAAAGGATGGTCTGCTGGAGGCGACTTTCAGCGATGATGACACCGTCCTACTTGCCGGCAGTTGCCAGAACTCCCTGCGCAAAGTGGCAGCTTGTTCTCAAAATCGTTAAGAAGACTGTTTTCACGATTTCCGATGGCAGCACAGGGCTAGGCGTAGGAAACAATGAGCACAACGGTAATTATTTGTTGTCTGGTAATTGCATGAGAGCTTTCAACAAGATGAAATTGTGGAGGCAGGGGTAGATGGCGCTTGGACCACATGAAGGGTTTAACGGATCTACAGCGCTCCGAACGGAAAAAGGAAAAGTCTACCAAACAATAGTAACGTCTCGATAGCCTGCGGAGCTGAAACCTTGCAAGCTGAGAGGTGGACTGCCGTCAAAAGTTAGGGATTAATCACTTTGCGAAACTTCTATCACTAGTTTGGTTTAGTGATGAGTTGATAGGCTTCGTGTATCACTCTAGAAAATAGAGTTGTCAGTTAGCGACCCAATATTACTGAAGAACGGGTCCGGTATCTTCTCCCCGAAAACGACGTCGCACGTCGACGCCCCAATAGCGCGCATTCGCGCGCTTTAAAGGGAAAGGTTTGATTTTCCAGTGGAAGGATAGGGTAGCCACCTCGTGACCTTGCCAAGCGGCAGCTTGACGTGGGAAATTGGGGGAAGTTCCGTTACCCCTGAATAATACATTCGGATTCAATCGAAGCATTTTAGAAGAATCATGGTGAAAAAAGATCGTAGTGTTCGTTTGAGTTGAACCAAAGTAAGATTATTAATAGCATAGAGCCACCTGGTGCAGCGAGAATCGTACAGGTGATTGAGCGGGAAAGCGCAGCTTTCTGATCACTTTCGGGGAGGTCAACGACGAGTGATAGCTCATGGTAGCGCTGGGCGGCATCTGTGAATTTTCGGCGACCGTCGAGTACTCTAGCGTAAATCGCCTAAACGACAATCCCATCATTGAAAAGTTTCTTCATTCACGAAAGCATAAAACGAAGCGATGCATAACTTACGAACCTTATATTCCACATTGAATGAATCGCAGTCTTTTTCGGTTTGCAATAAGCTTGCCCGATTCACGTACTGTTCCGCCTCCGCATGATCACCACTGTCCAAAAGTAAGCGACCAATGCGCAAGTACAAAGCCATTTTCTGCGCAGGAGAGCAGGGACTTGAAATGAAGACAATTAAAAACCAAGCATCTACTTTGATCAAAAATTTTTCTGGTGTTCCAGGGATCATGCTCTTTTTATAGTCGAAGTGTTCTTTTTATAGTGAAGGGGCGGAGTTGGTGTAATGGCAAGTGGCGCACAACCACACGTATGATTACGGGTTCGACTTCTGGATCGTTCTCTGCCTGGGAAAAACAGCCTTTCAATCCCAGCGAAGTGGTTTAACTGGTGTCAGACATATTTGGGAGGGTAAAAACAGCGACTTGTACATCGGCTGGCCACCGCAAGTCATTGAATAGGCCACATACGCACGCAATGCGCCACTACGATTCTGAATGGAAGTCGAATGCGTGGGCACATCCCTGAAACGTAATTGATCAACGCCCCGAGAAGGGGTGTGCGACGTTAGTCTCGAATGACATTACTTCGCGCCGAGGTGCGAAGTGATCTCATTAATGACTAACCTCATCTTAATTACGCGCCTCCTCTTAATCGTGACTAACCTCAATTTACTTATGAGAGTGATGGCAAGGATGAGAATAGTGAGAAAATGGAATTTGTATAATAGAATGTGTAGAAAAGGAATCATTAACAGCGGAAAGAGAAAATATACGAAGAAATGGAAAGGTTTGATAATTTTAAGAGACCTTGCTCTCGTTTCTACAGGATGTAATTCTCAGGTTCGACGAAGTTCATCAGAGAGGAGCAAATCGCATCCAAATAGAGGAATTTCGCATGAAGATGTCAAAATTCGTAACGTAACGTAAAGACCATCTGAGTTGTTTAACTACTATTTTTAAGATACTTCTTATTAAAAAATTAGGCTTCTTAAGATTTTATTGGAGTTTTTTGTTGAAATTTCTACCATCTCGCATGATAATGAAACTTTTAAAACCGAACACTATGAAAATCTTGAAAAAAAACTATGAAAAAAGACCCCCGAGAAGTCGAATGAAAAGCACTTGACCATTTAGAATCTGATGGGCCAAAAATGCGATTACCGAACTTTGAAATACCTTTATACCTTTTAAAAACAAGAACAAATAAGAGATCTCCTTCTGAGTCAGTTCAGCGATGTACGTGGCCAGCTGACAAAGAAGAAAAACTCGCTCGCGGTGGCCACAGAAGATTGGATGTATACCGCCGTAGGTATATTTTTTCGAGTGATGATCTTAAATCTGCGAAATGACGCTGGGAACAAAGGTACGGAACTGGTTCCCCAGTATGATACCACAATGTTTAATACATAATCGAACCGTGTCGCCATGCTACTGTGCGGTGGTGGCGAAGATGTTAGTTGGTTGGACTCTTAGGCATGAGATGAAAACTCAAATCCTTGATGGGAGTGCGCATTTTATTCATTCAGTAAGTTTTTGCGCCTCATATTTGATATCAACGAAATTTCCCAACATCTCGGGAACGCTTGAAATGAATATAGAGGAAAGGTTTCTCTTCCGCATAACAGCTCCATTCGAGCGAAGAGTAGTTTCAACTACTTGCTCAAACGGGCTTCAGAAACTTCATAAAGCAAGGTTCCCCATTATTTGAAACTCCAGCATATGAAGAGCGAGATGTTCTGCTCGAAGATGGCGTTACTTGTTGAGATACTTGTTAGAGGACGTGCGACATAAACTTAGCCTAGACCTAGGAAAAATGTCGACTGGGAGGAAGACGAGTCCGTGAAAGGCGATCACAATGATCCTTTCTGCTGATCTGATGATAACAACGACGATGGACCCATCTAAGGGCCAGGGAAGCTCGTAATTTTCTGGCGAGATAGCAGTTTTGAGTGAAGAGTAGTCTTCAGCTTTTAAATTTCGCCCATGAACTTCAATCTCATGTTGCACCCAGAAAAGCCCTTCTGTCGCACGGGTGCTGAAAGAGCAGCACTTCTTCGTGCATGAAAAACACGATCTCTTCCAATACGAGTAAATACATGAAAGTCTCACAAGGTTGGCGATTCATGAACAAAACTTCAGTCTCGGACGGGACTTGAACCCGTACCTGCCCTTTCCGGGGACCGTGCTCCTATTCCTTACACTACCGAGACACCGCTTGCCCTCGCCTTCTTAATGGCTTATATGCCATAGCTTATCAGCAGTCACATGTACAACGTGTTGAGCCGGCCGGCCAATATCAGTACTGAACCGTTAAGCTGAAAGCTTTACATGATATAACTTGTTTTGACTTGATGTTTTATTAACTGCTGTTATATCGCCGCATTACGCGTTCCGAAAGTCTCACAAGGTTGGCAATTTATGGATAAAACTTCAGTCTCGAACCCGTACTTGTCCTTTCCGAGTACCGTGCTCTACAAATTATATCATGTAAAGCTTTCAGCTTAACTGTTCAGAGCTTATATTGGCCGCCAGGCTCAAACGTTGTACGTGTGAGTTCTGATAGGCTATGGCATATAAACTCTTAAGAAGGCGAGGGCAAGCGGGATCCTGGTAGTGTAAGGGATAAGAGCACGGTACCCGGAAAGGAGACAAGTACGAGTTCAAGTCCCGTCCGAGACTGAAGTTTTGTCCTTACGTCCCAACCTTGTGAGATTTTCGGAACGTGTACTGCAGCGATATGACAGCAGTTAACGAAACTCAACTCAAAACAAGTTAGCTCACGAAAGTTTGGAAAAAAGAGGGAAAAAAAGAAACTGCAAACTATCAAGTTAGTTCATTTTCAACAAATTATGATGCATTCGGTGCAAAACGGTGCAACTTCTACTGATCGCAAAATGTGTGGATTGATTTGTCGAATTTTGGAAAGCAGGCAATTTACTCCTCAAAGAACATAACTCGAAAAACGCTTAGTTCAAATATAAGAAGCTCACCGCTGCGCGCTGTCGGTGGAAACTTTTTTCAAAGTTTCAGCTGCTTCAACGTAACGGCCAGCTTCTTCATGTAGAGTAGCGAGTCGCCCCCGAATGGCACACTTCTGAAGTAGGACTCATAGGCTGCCTGGTCCTTTGATTTGGAGATTATTTGAGATGACCTGCTCTTCGAACGCGAGGCTTGTAGTATCAAGAACTGCTAGAATGGAGTCAGCTAATATACAAATAGAGGAGTCGTTCAAGCGGCAAGATTCCACTCGCTGAGCAATGGCGGTGATTAGCTGCCTCGACACAACCTGACTGCCAGTCTCGAGAGCAATCACTGAAAGCGGTCAAAATATGATAACAGGATCGCAGCAATCTTAAAAGCTGAAATTAAGTGAAATCAGTTGTTTTCTGAACATAAACATGGGATAATGCATCCGTAATTACCATCACAAGTTGATCGTAGAGTCGACTAAAACGAACAAAAGACTATGCGTCGGCGATGGATATACGCTAGAAAGAAGAAAAGTGAACTAACCAGGGAAGGATCCCAACTCGAAGTGGCCAAAAACTCGTCTAGACCTATACGGCTAGACGTGTTTTTGGGCGCTGAATTCAAATCTGTTTTCCAAAACTGCCAAGCGATTCTCTGAACGGAGTTATGAGGGTGG